CCATGACTTCAGATGTTTTCATAATCTCCAATTTCATGATGGGGCTTTGCTCCAACACTCCAGCTCCTCACACAGCCCAGCTCCTGGGACCCATAAGACCCAGAGGCAGAAACACAAAAGCTTCATTGCTCAACGTCGAACAACAACGAGGCTGTAAGTTGTTCTCGTCGCTGCCCAAATAAAACTGTTGAGCCAGAAATTAAGCATCGCCAAACTGCCCGTGTGTAAACAAAGAACCTAAAAGTTCCTAAAAGCACAGAGCTTTCTTTTTGAAGTACCTGCTTATATAAGCTGCGATCACACTTAAGCCAGTACAAAAGAAACTAAAACAGCATCAGTGTGATGCTGGAGGCTCAAAGGCAAATTATTAATACTATCTAATAGGTCCTTCTATTTCTGAACTGATATTTGTTCTTATGTCCTAAGGCAGTAAACAAGTTCTGTGATCAATTTAAATACTAGTTACTCAGTGAGAATCACTGCTTTAGTCCATGTGTTTCATTTGAAAAATCCTCAGAGTCCAACGATGCCTTCATATAGCCCCACAGACTTTGCTGAAGTCTATCGTACTTTGTTACAGCTGTTAAGATGCAGCCAAACTGCAAGGTTCCAATTTAGCACAGACATTTTATCCTGTGTGCCAGACACTGCCGGTTATAAAAGCCAGTGGCCACTCTTGCCTTATTCTGTACAGAGATAACTTTGACTTTGTTCTTGGCACAAGATGAAGAATGCCTTAAACAAACAATCAACAAACAAACAAAACACTCCCTACATTTTCTTACTTGCAGATAGATGTAGTTGACAAAGGAAACTGATACACAAGGGCTGGAAGAGTAGCAAGCACATTGTAACTATTAAATGATCACATAGTAGACCCTAAGTGGCCAAGTAGAAATATGCAAGTCTGTGCCCCTTCTGGAAAAGAGAGATATACTATAGGCCTGACCTGTCTGCTGGAAGTTATTGGTACCTAATGAAGGGTGGAGGAAGATGGAGAAGGGAAAGTCTAGTTAGTCTACTCTTTGTCAGGAACAAATAATCACAAGGAACATGAAAACAAAATAAACTTATTTCTAACAAAAAACAAAACAAACTAACACAAACTAACAACACAAACTCGATGTTCCATTATCCTGGTGTAGTATAAAGTTCACTTATTATGCAGCTGTATGCCATGAACACAGGGAAATCTGAAATCAAGGTTTGTAGAATCCTGAAGTCACTTGAAACCTGAGCAAGAACATCACAGAATACACTGCACATAGCAGAGAATGTCCTCACACATTCACCCAAACATTCACCTTGCTGGAGTACTAGAACCTGTCTCCAGCAAAGAGGTACTTACCAGTCCATCTCATGTCTCCCTAAGATGGTGAGACTAAACTGAAAACAAAAACCACTGTTTCTTGCTTCCTTCTGTCACCATGAGTGCAGTAATTATACAAATACGTGGGGAAGACAGAAAACTCCACCGTGTTGGTTCAAATACTAAAAGGTTTTCTTAGCAATACTGTAGGTAAATAACCAAGCTGTCTGCCAACCTTCAGAGAGAATACTGTTCCCACTGCAGCTGTATGGGAACTGATAAGTTCCAGACACTGGGCGAATCAGCATTGTGTTAGATCAAGAAATGTCAACATTTTCAAATCTGTTCTAAAATATACAGAGCAGGGACTAGCAAGATGGCTCAGCTGGTAACATATTGCTGCACAGACCTGACAACCTGGATTTGATCCTCAGAACACACATAAAAAGCCAGATCTGGGGGAAGTTCTGGGGGATGGGAAAGAGTATAATAGAAATACATTGAAAAAAAAAAAAGAAATACATTGTATGAAAGTCTCAAGAAACAAAAATATAAATAAATAAAAACCCTGATACCATACCACACATCTGTGATCCTGCACTCCTCTGGCAAGATGGTAGGCAGAGATGGGAGCATGTTCAGAGAATCAGTTGGTCAGGTAGCTTGGAGGAGGTTCTGTAGCACACAGGGATAGCCTACCTCAACAGGGTGAAGAACTGATCCCTCTCAGAGTTGTTCTGACCCTCACACCTCCACACACACTGCAGAAGCATGCATGTGTGCACACACACACACATGCACACTCACACACACACTCACAGTTAAGTAAAAAAAATGCAGAATAAAATGTAATGGTCTGCATTAATTATGTTCACACTTAACATCATATAAAAGTATCTGTGTTGGGAAGCCACAGTCAACGACAACCCAGACAGCAGCATTTCACAGATGAATGTGATAAGAGTTAAGTGTTCGTTTATAACAGTATACCAGTTAATTTCATTACACTTGAGATGAGATCACTCTGTGTTCTATACTAAGCTGCTAAAAATATTCTGTACCATACAGGGACTATACTGAATAATTTACTATAGATAAAAAAGGGTACTGACATGGGCAGTTTCTAATATAAACAGTATTAAAGAATTGTACTTTAAAAAAATACTTCTATTCACTCTTATTTGTTACCAATTAAAACTGCCCAATTTACCTCTAGGAATATTTTTACCTGATATATTTTGACCTGACATATTTTGATGAGGAATCTATTTCACAGATAACTAGATGAGAATGTGATCCAGAACGCTACACCCTTTTTTGCAGCAAATAAATCCTTGTGTTATTCTAGTTCAGTAAACAGTTGCCTATTTTTACTCTGACTTAAAGGACCAAAGCCATACACGAGAATAGAACACACCATGAAAATCTGAGCTTGCTCATCACTACCCTTTGTCTCTGGGGGGCCTGGGATGAAGTTCTCCCAAGGCTGCCTGAGGAGATGTCCAACAAAGCTCTCAACCCCCAAGCCTAACTCTCCTAATGTTATAGATTACTGCTGTTCTTTAGGTCGTTGACACTTATGCTACTCAACAGCTGGGCACATACTTGACAACCTAGTCACCCTGCCGAGGAGAGCAAACACGAGAGCAAATGCATTCTGTTACCGAGGACTCGGACAGAAATAAAAATCAAAATAACCTCTCTTTCCAACTGGAACATAAAAATGTGTTGAACAGTGTGCATTATTTCAGAAAAGTGAACTTGGGAAAGTTTTGCAAACTGGCACTCCCTATTCAAAGCAGACAATTCTTTTCTAATTAGATCAGCCCCTATAGTGAGCCATCAGGATAAGTACTGCAGTGAAGTCATCCTATTGGTCACTGATGGGAAATCAAAACTGGCTTCCAAACACACCAGGAAACAATGGGCACACCAGGTCTCCGGCTTTTCATCGAATACACCGACCAATAAGCTTCTTTTCCTCTCCAAGGCTAAGTGAGATTCAGAACATCTACAGGGCCAAACACAATTTGATGACCTAAGCATTCAAAACCACAAAGACTGGGGTAAATGGCCCCTTGGGTTTTTTTCTGTGAAATCTTGGGCAAAATGTCTTGAGAAATGTCTGTCTGAGAGCATCACTAGCGATAACATTAGTATCCCAGCCAAGGGTGACATGCAGAACAGCCACCTATATTTAATTTTCTGTTATTTACTAAGACAAATAAGTACATGTTTCTAAACAAGGCCTGTTTCCTCAAGACTGGCCAAAATCAACATTCTGGTTATTTCTTTTTTTTCAGACACCTTAAATTACCCACTTATCACTACTGATGATCTGACAAAAAAAAAAAAAGAAATTAAAAGCTGTATTTTGTTCCTAAGCATATAACATATACATTGTAGACCATCCTGATTTTTTCTGAATCATAGAGCTTATAGGTCTATATTGCAATGTTTCTCATTTTTAACTTTCTAGTGACATCTGAGTGAGAACACAATTTTAAATGGGAAAACAGAAACAACCCTCAGTACATTACACATGGAAGCCAATGCCCAGATACGAGTTAGCTTAAAATATCACTGCACTTGCTCCGGGCTGTATTATTCACAATGGAGCTTTGGCACAAAGGAATTCCAGTTGTGTTTACAAAATGATATGCAATGTCTAAGACTCCAGTTACAGAACTCATTCTAGAAAGGGGCAAAACATGAGTGTAGGAAGAAATGAGTTTTAGGGAGCTTGAAAATTCTGTTACTCAGTTTTGGATTCATATTAGTAACAAAAATATATTTTTTTTTATTTAACTCACAGAACTTGAGTTACTAAACGCAAAGTGACTATTCAACAGATGCACTCAGGTCCATCATATGAAATACTGCTATTCACTATTAATATTTTACACACATCTGTGAGCCATCCTCACAAATACGTGAATGTGAAACATCTCTCAACTTGCAATACTATCTGTCTATGTACTTTAAAAAGTACATCTCAAGAGACAAAGACTCAACACGGAAAAGCACAAGTTAAAGTAACCATAATACTTAGATATCCAAGACAATCAACTTGGCACGACATTTCCTGGACAGAAGTGATTGGCAAAAATGTATCTCAAAATAGCCTTCTTTACATTTAAATGTACAACCCACTCTCTGACTAAAGACTTCCTTTTATCATGATTTGAAATAATTTTGGACTGCATCCGAGTTAGAATATAATCACAAGCGAGAAACTTTTCAAATAAGTACGATTTTTTGAGAAAAAATAATGTGGTGCTGTGCTCAAGAATCCAAGAACCTTTACAGGTTAGCCAAGCCTACACCAGGCAGGAGCAGCCAGGCTTAGAAATCTCACAGAGAAGTAATGGCATCCAACCCTCCCAGGAAGAATTATGGCTATGCTTAGTGCTTAAGAGCTTCTACAAAGGGAAAGACAAGGCAAAGTGCTTCTTGGAAACAGACCTCCCCCACCCTCCATTCCACCGCCTACCCTAGGGCGTCTCCGAACCCTCACCCACTCAGCCCTGCTCTGGGGTATAAGATTTCACCTAGAGCACCTATCGGTCCCCAGGGCTGGTTCCGGCTGCTGTTTACTTGTGCCCCACTGAGGGGGTGGCTCTGATTTGGGAAAGGTAACGGTTCCCATGGGCCCTGCCCCGCCGCACAGCCCAGCACAGGGACCTCGTACCTTTGTACCTTTCCAGGACATCCTCGTAAGCCTGGAGGTACTCCTGCTCCTCCACGTACATGTAGGCGGCGGGGGACAGGTACCCCGCCATGCCGTGGTCCGGGGGGCTGGCCGCGCCCGTGGGCCCGCGACCCGGGTGGAGGCGTTAGCAACCCCGGGCTGGAGGATCAGCGCGGCGGCAAGCCCGGGGCAGCGTCCCCAAGGAAGGCTTGGGGGGGCGGCGGGCGGTGGCTCGGGGCGGGCAGCCTCCTGACCCTGCGCCCCGGGCCACGGCGCTGCGGAGGAGCGCGCTGCCCCGCCGGGATGCGCTGCGCTTCTGCGGCATCTCCGGGCTGCGCCGCAGACGCCCGCCCGGGAGGAGGAGTGGCAGCGCTGGGCTCCGGCACCGCCCTCCGGCCCGCCCACCGGCCGCCGGTCCCAGCGCGGTTTCTATTTGGGACCCACAACAGGTGCCGGGAAACAAAGCCCCGGGTCCTGTTCCTACTGAGGGGGCTGGAGGCTCTCCACCCCAGGAAGAAGAACAGTGGACCATGCTGGAAGTACTTTCCCCAACCCATCTTAGGGCATCGGAGGACCAGGTCACTGTAAGAGGGCAAGGAGGGGGACAGACCCGCGTCCAGGAGACGCCAAGACCTGGCGGCCTCTGGAGGTGGCAGGGCGCATCAGGGCCTGACAGCGCCTCCAGGGTCAGGGCAGCTGAGGACCAGGCAGCGGCCCCTCCCTTCTGCCCCCCAGAGCCTGCCAGCGCATCTGCCGCTGCTCTGGGAGGGACTGTCCACTCACCATGGCCCAGATTACTGTCACCGCCCTCCTTCCTCTTATTATTCACTGCACATAGTACCAGTATCCGCTGAGCAGAATACATATGGCTCTCTTACATTTGACGCGCCGTATGCTAAAATAAGTAACTTTAAAGGACCCCAAGGTGAGCCAGCTGGTACTCAGGCGTGTAAATGGATATTTTTCAGAACGCGGAAGTCCAGTGGCTGTGGATGGAATCTTGCATCCTCACTGTGGGCCACCAGCAAGTAACTGACTCTCTTCATGGAGAAAGGGAGATGTAACAGAACCTAAATGAAGTCGTGTGTGTGTGTGTGTGTGTGTGTGTGTGTGTGTATTACCTACCACCACTTTCATTCTTAGAAAATCCACTCACTACATACATAATCCATCTTGATATATGACACTCCTCTCTAAATCTTCCTACTTCCTCCTTTTGTATATACTGGCCTCTCCTCCTTGACTCTTTGTTGGTTTTTATTATTGTGCAACTGGAATTTTTATGATTGTGCATTTTTCTACTAATTCTATATGGGGATAAAATATGCTTGAACAGGGACCTCTGTTCAAGAATCAGGGCAGGTAACTCTCCTTGGCTACTGACCTGCTTTAATTTCCCCAAATAAAGCAAGACCTCATCTCTCCTCTCTAGCCTGATAACCTGTCTATGATCTGGCTTTGACCCCTGCATGTAAGTAAAACTCAACGTGACATTCTTACGAATATGTGTATGACGTAACCTTGGGAAAACATCTTGGAATGAAAGGAGTTAGCAGTAAGTTCCTATTCATACTCCACATGCATACAAACATACTCTGAATACACTGTAAGGTGTCTAAAGGGAAAGTCTGAGGCTTTATCAGAAACCAACACCAAGCAGCATCCAGTTTTATGAATATAGCCAGCATATATTTTACTGTACTTCAAACTGTCCATTTAAAGATCCGGCCAGGGCAGTGGTGGTGCACGCCTTTAATCCCAGCACTTGGGAGGCAGAGGCAGGCAGATTTCTGAGTTCGAGGCCAGCCTGGTCTACAGAGTGAGTTCCAGGACAGCCAGGACTACACAGAGAAGCCCTGATTCGAAAAACCTAAAAAGAAAAAAAAAGAAAGAAAAAAGAAAGATCCGGCCAAATAAACAAACGTAGCACTATCTGAGAGGTCAGCCTTTGCCCCGAGCATTCCCAAAACCATAATGGTGGGTGGATATGCTAGCAATTACAGTATAATCCACAGGGAAGGAAAAATAGCATAGCAACAAAGCTTGCATTGGAGTCAAGCCCCCCTGAATGCAGATCATAGCTGAAGGTCTATGGTGGTTCTACTCACTGAGGGAACTTATGAACTGAGAGAAATCACAGTTCCTATCATATGGGGTGCTTGCAGGTCTCGAGAGATGTATCCATAGCTGCTCAGAAGATACCTCGCTGTGTACATAGCTAGCTAGCACTTTATAAATAAGTATTGTCCACGTGGCAGGGAATTTATAAGATGATTTACATTCGATATCTCTGTTTTACATATCTGTCTCTATCCTACATTTCACCCCAGTCAAGACCCTTCAACTATGAAACTGGAACCTGTCCAAGTGGCATATAGCTAGAGGTGGGTCGCGGTGGTGCACATCTACAATCCTGACATTGGAGAGACAGAGGCAAGAGGACCAGGAATCATGGTCAGGCTCAGCAAACCGACAGAAAACCTGTGCCGCATAAGACCCTGTCTCATAAAGTAGCGAAACCAAACTTGACCATAGTGGGAGAGGACGCACACACCCAAACTTACACGTTCAGAATTTGGTCCTTCAACTGGCCAAGCCTAACTTTAAAATTTCCCCTCTTAAAACAACATTCACAGTTAAGCATGCTTGTTTATGAAGTTCTACCCCTTTGAAGTGGCCATCCCTGTCACCCTAATTCTATCAAGTTCTGTTAATCCCAGCTCAAGTGGCACTTCCTCTCAAAAGCCTTTCAGGAGCCTTCCACATCTCCCCTTCTCCCCCCAGGTTAGACTCCTCTGGGTTCTTTGAATAGCAGACACTTCCAGCCATGACAGCTCATCTTTCAGAGCCTGTTGTAACTATCCAGAAGCACATTACTCTTAAAAGACAGAACTATGCTCTATCTGTATTTTACTGCAAAAACTCAATCAGCAATGTCACCATCACCAGAGACTTACTGCATCACAAACCTGCAGATGAAGCTATCCAAAGGTCTGTGTGGCTCTTGACTGGGGGGCAAGGGGAGTGAATTTCACAAACAACTCATTTTAATGGCCTTTAAAAAAATATATTAAGCTCTTTTACTACTGAAAATGAGCACCACAAACTTCTCACATTCCTGAACAGCACCCCACCTTTCCCAAGGGATTAATTTCAAGGAAGAGCTAAGTTTCAAGTAGAGTGTAAAATGTGTTGTAAAATTAAAAGTGGAAGTTTTAGTGGCGTGTTTTCAAACTATCCTCACTACCAGGCTCTCCTTGGATAAACTGCACCTTAGTCACACTGGGTCAACAGTGGCCAGTCTCCTATAGGACAGACAGTAATTCGGTCACATGAGGGGTTAAAATGACACTTGTGACTGGCCTCCAACTGATCATTTATGAGCTGTCTAGCAAACATGTGACATATCAATATTTTTAAATAATAAGCCTCTATGCTCCCATTCCCCTGCTCATTTTATTTTATTCTATTTTTTGAAGAATTCATGTGGTTTTAAAAGTAGATACTTTGAGGTCTCAGTCACCCACCTCAAACTCTCTGTGGACGTTTCACAATGAACAGCACGTGGCCTCTGTCCTCAGGACTACAGTCCCCTCTGTGCCAGCACTGTCCAGGGTCCCTCCAGGCTTTCCTTTTCCACACTGTCCACAGAGGGGTAACAGCTACTCCTGTGACAAATGCTTGGTAGCCCTTTCACAGTCTGTGTGATCACGTCACCACCGACAAACCCCTACCCTGCTTCTATCTCATACCCTCAAACAAAATATCCACACAGCGCCAGGCGTGGCAGCAAATGACTTTGATCCCAGCATTCAAGAGGCAGAAGCCTGCAGACCTCCATGAGTTTAAGGCCAGCCTGATCTATGTAACGGGTTCCAGGCCAGTCAGGGCTAACCGGTGAGCCCCTATCTCAAGAAACACAAAAACCAAACCAACAACAAAACTTTACAGAATAGGCATCTGGATGTTTTGATGCCCTGGGCAGGCCACACAGTGAGCATACACCTTCCCTTCACCTACGGTAACCTTGTGCTGCTAGTTCTGGTAAGAGTCTCTCCTCTCCCTTGAGTGTTAGATTTGCAGGGAGCTTTCAACAAGACAGACAGGCCTGAGTGACTAAATGTGTACTGAGGTGAAGGTAAGGAGAGCCAAGGCCCAAGCCACCTCACTCTCACTTGGCTCCCAATCCCCATCCTCCCTCCCTCCCTCCTCTTCCCCTTCCTGCTCCACCCCTCCTCCTCAAAGGCTGGGCGAGACCGACGGGCCTGCATCTCACAACAGAAGTCAAAAGGAGCTCAAGTCTGTTGCCCCAGAAACCCTGACTACAGAATGACTGGCCAGGCTCTGCTTGTTTTGCTTAGAATCAAAAAAAAGAAAAAAGAAAAAAACCACTTCAGGAACCCCGTGGAGACTCTCTCTAGGCTGCCTTGATGACTGTAATCTGGGATGGTCACAGCCCCCAGGAAGACAAAACTCTAATATTTGCATTACCTGGGAAGCAACTATGAGAACACAGGCCCCAACTCCTACCCCTTCACAAGTGGGGGCAGGGGAGAGGGAAGGAGGCCTGAACATCTGGCCTTTGGCCTTTGTAAGTGACTCTCCAGAGACAAACCCAGTCCCTCCTGCCCTATTACCATTTCCAAGAAGGAAAAGACATTGCTAAGGGAATGCAGAACTATCCACACCCAGGAGGCCACTACATGCACAAGCCCTGCAGGAACCACAGGGCCTGAAAGCTGCTCTTCACAGTGTTCTCAGTTTACAGCTGAGAGAAACAAGCTCCCGTCTGGTGCAGCTTGTATGGCCAATGCAAGGAAACACCCCACACACGGGACACAAACACCGGCATCTCCATGGATTAATTAATCAAGAGTGCATGATGGTCCCTCACAAGCACTAAGGACACAAAGCATCTGTGGCCACATGATGGTCACAAGCTCACAGAAAAGCTACATTAAAACAAAAATCTAAATTGCTGGGTTACGCGCTGCATCCTAGGTACCAAAACCATGAGACCTGAGTAAGACCTGCATCGCTCAGTGCCCTTGGGCAAAAGGAGAAAAAAAAGATTATTCCAGCAAAATATTCCAGGAAGTCATTGGTATTAGTACTCTCGGGT